CACGACCGCATGACAAGGGTATGGAGTAGACAACACCGGTGATACAAGATACATAATTATGAATATGACTAACATTGCATGTGTGTTGCTGGACATTTCGCTGATTCGCGACTCGTCTATCTACTTTGGCACATAAAGTGGATAACTTATTCCTGGCAGAAATAACCACTTGGACATCATATCTTGATGCAACCTTTTTCAGGCGGTGGGTAAAACCATGAATATAAGGAAGAACAGCAAAAATTTTATGCTGCGCCTTCTCATCCAGGTCACAACCATTACCTGGACCTCCTTTATACTTCTTAATCAACTTCTCGCAGACCTTTACCAATAAGTCCCGTGGATATCCTGCCTGTCTCAGTTTTTGCACCTGCCCAGAAAAACTGTTACCGACTAAATGAGTGCAGGATTTCTTCAGTGCAGAGCTAAAACATGAGAGTGCAATGGCATTTTTAACCAGTTTCGTATGGCCGGATTTGTAGTTCAGCACAGGTTTTACGGACCTAGGGGCATAGCACCAACACACATGGGTGGGCGAGAACTGCAGCTGCAGATCCAAAAATTGGATACACTGGTCCTTTAGGTATTCTGAAGTAAACTTCAGGCCAAGACCACACTGCTCAAACCTCTTTAGAATATCTGCCGACATATCTTCAGTTCCCTTACGGAAAAACACAATGTAGTCATCGACATAACGAAAAACTCTGATTACAGAAGCCTGCAAGACCGGTTGGAGCGCCCGATCAACTCTACTTAAAAAAATATCACTTAAAACCGGTGCCACCCTAGACCCTATACAAACACCCTTCCTCTGCAGGTACACCTCACCTTGGAAAAAAATGAATAAAGACCCCAGGTAAAAGAACAAAAGTTCCGTGAAAGATTCAACTGACATACCACTTAAACCTATGAAGGCAGGTTCATCATTGTGATACGTAATGCATTCTTTCACTGCGGTCAAAAGGTGATTATGGGGTAGAGAATAAAAAAGGTCCTCTACGTCAATGCTCACAGCGTCACAATCAACGGGGTTGTCATCACGTAGGAACTGGACAATCGTTTCCGAGTTAGGTGCAATGTACGGGTCGTCTATATATAGAGACGTTAAGCAAGTTTGCAAGAAACCAGACACACAATACTGCCACGTGTCGCGTTCCGTGATTATTGCGCGGAAAGGCATCCCAATCTTATGCGTTTTTGCAGTGTAAAATACTTCAAGCTGCAATTTATCCGCCTTTTTTACAGACTGCGCAAGTTTCTGCAGGTTCATATCGAGCAACAAGGCTACAGCTTGTTTTTTCCTTTCCGCTGGCTTGACTGACGTGGTCCGAAAATTCTTTTGCACAGCTTGTAATGCCTTCTCACAATACATGCCTTCCGGCAGAACAACGAACTGACCTTCTTTGTCAGAAACAAGTAATCTAAGTTCGTTGTTAGCTATAAAATCAACCATTCCTTTCCAGTTGAAAGTCGGCCCTATAGGCCTGCCTGGCGGCACACCCATAGCATCCATGCAGTCTCCAATACAACGTTGTTTTTCACACTCCGGTACATGGCGGGAAATATCGTGCACCAGACTGACCTTTTCAACATTCGACAGACGAGGCTCGAAAGCAAACTTGGGACCTAGCTCAAGTTTGCTACCTCGTGAAAGGACTTCTGCTTCAAAAGGACACGTTGTTACGTTGGGGAATGTGCATCTTCCGGACCAACACAGGCAGGTTCTTGAGCTAGGTCCCAAGTTTGCTTTCGAGCCTCGTCTGTCGAATGTTGAAAAGGTCAGTCTGGTGCACGATATTTCCCGCCATGTACCGGAGTGTGAAAAACAACGTTGTATTGGAGACTGCATGGATGCTATGGGTGTGCCGCCAGGCAGGCCTATAGGGCCGACTTTCAACTGGAAAGGAATGGTTGATTTTATAGCTAACAACGAACTTAGATTACTTGTTTCTGACAAAGAAGGTCAGTTCGTTGTTCTGCCGGAAGGCATGTATTGTGAGAAGGCATTACAAGCTGTGCAAAAGAATTTTCGGACCACGTCAGTCAAGCCAGCGGAAAGGAAAAAAACAAGCTGTAGCCTTGTTGCTCGATATGAACCTGCAGAAACTTGCGCAGTCTGTAAAAAAGGCGGATAAATTGCAGCTTGAAGTATTTTACACTGCAAAAACGCATAAGATTGGGATGCCTTTCCGCGCAATAATCACGGAACGCGACACGTGGCAGTATTGTGTGTCTGGTTTCTTGCAAACTTGCTTAACGTCTCTATATATAGACGACCCGTACATTGCACCTAACTCGGAAACGATTGTCCAGTTCCTACGTGATGACAACCCCGTTGATTGTGACGCTGTGAGCATTGACGTAGAGGACCTTTTTTATTCTCTACCCCATAATCACCTTTTGACCGCAGTGAAAGAATGCATTACGTATCACAATGATGAACCTGCCTTCATAGGTTTAAGTGGTATGTCAGTTGAATCTTTCACGGAACTTTTGTTCTTTTACCTGGGGTCTTTATTCATTTTTTTCCAAGGTGAGGTGTACCTGCAGAGGAAGGGTGTTTGTATAGGGTCTAGGGTGGCACCGGTTTTAAGTGATATTTTTTTAAGTAGAGTTGATCGGGCGCTCCAACCGGTCTTGCAGGCTTCTGTAATCAGAGTTTTTCGTTATGTCGATGACTACATTGTGTTTTTCCGTAAGGGAACTGAAGATATGTCGGCAGATATTCTAAAGAGGTTTGAGCAGTGTGGTCTTGGCCTGAAGTTTACTTCAGAATACCTAAAGGACCAGTGTATCCAATTTTTGGATCTGCAGCTGCAGTTCTCGCCCACCCATGTGTGTTGGTGCTATGCCCCTAGGTCCGTAAAACCTGTGCTGAACTACAAATCCGGCCATACGAAACTGGTTAAAAATGCCATTGCACTCTCATGTTTTAGCTCTGCACTGAAGAAATCCTGCACTCATTTAGTCGGTAACAGTTTTTCTGGGCAGGTGCAAAAACTGAGACAGGCAGGATATCCACGGGACTTATTGGTAAAGGTCTGCGAGAAGTTGATTAAGAAGTATAAAGGAGGTCCAGGTAATGGTTGTGACCTGGATGAGAAGGCGCAGCATAAAATTTTTGCTGTTCTTCCTTATATTCATGGTTTTACCCACCGCCTGAAAAAGGTTGCATCAAGATATGATGTCCAAGTGGTTATTTCTGCCAGGAATAAGTTATCCACTTTATGTGCCAAAGTAGATAGACGAGTCGCGAATCAGCGAAATGTCCAGCAACACACATGCAATGTTAGTCATATTCATAATTATGTATCTTGTATCACCGGTGTTGTCTACTCCATACCCTTGTCATGCGGTCGTGTGTACGTGGGACAAACAGGTCGCTGTCTAAATGTTAGACTTCGAGAACATTTTAATTCTTTAAAAGGCCACTCCGGCCTTCATCTGGCAGCCCACTGTAAGAAATGCGGCTGCGCTCCGCTGTTCGGTGATACTTCTGTGTTGTTCCGGCATAAGAACCAAAGATGTGCGCGAACTTATTGAGGCTGCGCATATTCACAAGAAATCTGTGTCTTGTGTTAGTGTTCCCTCTGTGGCCATACATGATAAGGAGTTAAGCTATCTTGGTTTTGTATGACGGGTGTGCTATGCTTGATGTGCCTAAGTTTGGTGATTTGGTCCCTCGGGTTTTTTCTCCTCCCCCTTTGCCCCCTCTTCCTTTTTTCTGCCTATTATATATATTGCCTCGTTCTTGCAATAAAGCGTCAGTTGATAGTCTGCGCTTGTCTGTCCTTTTTCTCTCCTTCTTGTTTCCGTCAGTTTTTTGCGCAGTTACATACCTTATGGATCAGTACCAACTAGCCCAACTTACCATTCTTCTGATAAAACGGGAAACAAGCGAAGAAAGTGAAGCAGATACCGATGCATTTTCGATGGCTCATATTTACGTCATATACTACCCTTGATAACGTAGTAATGCTCAACAACCAGATATATTTAAAGCTTTGATGCAGTTTTGAATCACATGTTGTACAGTTCTTTTCGCTAAAGTGATCTGTAGATGCAGAGTTTTGTATTTTTAGGATCAAAATTAAAACTTTTCTGCACTTTCTAGTGCGACCTTTGTTGTAAGCCTTGCGCGTCTTCGCTTGAGTACCGCATACCTTCACAGACGACTTTCTGAACCTATTTAAAGAAATTGTTGAATTCTAGAAAAAACTATAAATTTTAGTAACCTGGTTTTTTTATCAATTCCAGTCATCGAATTCATCATCTTCTGAGTGATCTAGAAACTTTTGCAACTACGCTTTCTATCGTTCTATCATTCTTTCAGAGGAATTGTTGTAATCAATATGAACTCTTCCCAGAACATATATAAATTTATGAATGATATTTATGATCTTAACTAATAGACTTGACTAATTCTTATCTTAACTTATAGGCTTTACGGCACATATGATAGGGACTACCTGCGTGGTACAAATTTTTGGTGGCACACTGTTATTCCAGTCATATTTTCTTAACCAAGCGCTTTTTTACGCGCTCAATAGTAATGTATTTTGTCGCCCACTGGCATCATGTATTTTGGGAAGCACGCTCGCCGGTTCATGCCATGAAGGCTGCAGAAGGCTGGGTGCGACGTGCTTGCATGCGTCCAATCCCAAAGTATGAGCAAGCGAATAAAACTGCACCACTAATATAAAGTAGTTTGCCTGCTTAAGTTATTTACTTCTGAAGGCACTTGGCACAGAAAGCCGTGAAGTAGCGCTATGTTTCAGTTGACGTTACTCCTGTGAAGTATATTTGCGATCGCCAGACCTCCTCGTTCTTGTGTACACGATTTGTTCAAATGTTCAAACCGGATACAATAGGCTTGGGCCTCTTTTCGTCATCTTCTAGAAAGGCTGTAAGTTGCCGTAGTGCGAAAAAAAACAATTCATGTTGTTGCTTTGTTTTTGTTTGTTTTTTATTTCTTGATTCTTTTTTATGTTTTCATGCAGAGCAATCTCAAGCCGGTTTTAGGGTACCGACAGCTAACGCAGCTTCACAACCAGAGCCTTCGCCTACACAACCAACTCCTGCTTCACCGCCCTCTGTTTACGGTACACCCCGTGACCACGCGAATGACTCCAGCAGGTCTTATGCCACAACATACGGTTACCAGGCGTCTGCCGGAGCTGGCTCCTATGCCTCCGCTTCTTACACGCCAGGACATGACGTGAACAGGGCACCGCAGGGGGAAACGTACGCTGCTACTTACAATGGTGCCGCTTCCTCTGCTGCTGGTGCTGCCCCCTATTCGAGTGGTCCCACTTCGTACGGCTACGGTGAAGGCCGAGCCCTGGAGGGCCCTGCCAGTGGTCCAGCAGTGCATGGTGCACCCACGTCCTCTGGGTCTGCTTACCAGACGCATGGTTCCCAAGCTTTTGGGCCCTCCCCCTATTCACATGTCAATGCAGAGGGCATCGAAATACCTGAGGGATTCATCCCTGACCCTTACGATGCTCCTTCCTCTGTTCCTGGTGCCTCTCGACCTGATTCCACTGTGCCTGGCCCAGCAGCGCCCCTCCCCGGCGCACCATATTCTGCACAAGGTCGGTATATTGGTGTTGAGACAGGATGCATGAATGGTGTTTCATTTAAACGATACACGAACCGCACTTGGAGTTTGGCAAGAAGAACACATTGTTTAAATAGCGGACTACTTCTATGAACATCTCAGCCAAATCTTGCAGTCGTGCATGGCAAGGGAAGTTTAGTAACGAAGCGCTAAATTGTCATTTCCTCTTCATACAGAAGCCTGTGCTCACTATCTTCGGAACTGACAGTGTCTTATGTCTGGCGTCAAATGACCCATAACACGCTATTGGCTAATAGCTGATACAAATTCAACCTATTTATATGAAAGTCAATGCACCCGAGCATTAAGGGAGCGTTTGTCTTCTTATGCTGGTTACCGGAGATACCTATACTTATTAGGACAAAAGAGGCTCTTGAAAGATCGGTAGTCGGGGTGACACAAGGTTGGTAAGAGGAGCCTTTATTCGGAGATAGCGTCTTGGTAAGTTGATTCCCACATTCACGGAAATGAAATGGAAAGAGCCAAATATGGCGCCATGTAATCAACGCAACACCTACGTATACCCTCGTTGACCGCTATCTAAGTTAGTCGTATCAGTCCAAATCATTAAGTCTTCAAAAGATTGAACACCACAGTGCATTAGGCTATGCGGCTTACCACTGACGTCATAGAGTATAACACTCTGCAATTAAATACAACTATCGAGATTTTGAGCGCCCTTCGACACGTCTGTATCCTTCTTTCTGGGCACTCGGAGCGCTGCAGACATTTCACAAGAAACCATGCTAAACAAGAGCATTCTCGCGTAGCGTGAGCTAATAAAGGGCTTTCTTTCTTAGCAGTGCCTGCTATGGTTAAGAGTGTTTTGATCCGGAAGACCTATGCGCAGCTTGTAATTTTTCCGGTCGACATGTACAGTCTCGTACGTTTGAGAAGTAGATTGCATGTGACCTTTCAGCCGCAAATTTGATATAGTTTTGGTAATACTCAGTGAAGCTTACTCGCATGTGCTCGTCTAGAAAGTGACGTAAAACCAAATGCGATAAGAAAGTCATGAAAAATCCCTAGTGCTGCATTAAAAAAGCTATTTGGCCAAATGCACGAAATCTCTCGTTCGTTAGTTTCCTGGGCGGCTTCGCCATTCGTTTGCCGCATTTCCTAATATAGGATAATAAAATCTTCTCTTACAAACAGTTAGTAGTAAGACACTTTTGATTTTACAACAAGTTTGTGCAATAAATCTTATTGTTACGCATTAACATTGGTGTTCGCAGGAGCTGCACAGGCCCCGCAGGTTGCAGGCAGGCTGGCTTTCCCTCCTGGTCTTGAATACCTAGCTCATGTTGAACAGATAGTAATACAACAAAGCGTCGAGTTCCTCGAAGGTATGACTAACTTTATTTGGAAATTCGAAAACATGGCAGGATGGAGAAAATGATGGATTGCGATAAAAAAAACCCGTAAACAGGAGTTTTGTCAAAATGTCGATTGGACACAACCCCTGTTTACGGATACTTCGTTTCAATTTTCTTTGGAGAAGATATGTGGTGCTGGGGGAGGAGGGAATTAAATATCCGCGAAGTTTATCGAGTCAATCATGGCATTTCTTGGACTAACTTCAATTATGCGCACCATTGAAGTTAAAATGACCGCTTTGCACAAGTGGTGCCAAGCCTGAATAAAGTGTACAGCTGGAGAGTTTTCCTTGCATTTTTTCTCCTCTTTCTTCTATCAAGTGCGCAGCAGTTTAGGGGCAGGGCTGTTGTGTGCTCTCATTGATGTTGAGCTTAACGCAAGCCAAACCCGTGCTCACACTAAAGAGAAGTCTTCTTCCCATTATGCTTGGATAATATTGATTTTGATTTGGGAGAACACTAGGGTCCAGGCCTATCGCATTATTTGATATGCTGTCTGCACTTGGCGTAACGCACGTGAAACCACGTACAAATTCGAAAAAAAAACGAAACAAGCGAAAAATAGAAAGAGAAAGAAATAAATAAAAATAGAGAAAAAGAAATCAATACCAATAAAGAAACGAAAGACGGAACAAATGAAAAATTGTGGGAAAAAAAGGAGAAAAAAAATGAGAAAGAAGAAACAAAGAAGGCTTTCTAGCGCCGCACTACCTTTACGCTTGGCACGACTGGTGCAAAAACAACACAAACTTTATTGTTAGAACATAAACGTTTTTAGAACTAAAGTTTTTATAACATAAATTTTCATGCAAGACTGCCTTATATTTTTCTCTTTCTCTCAGTTCTTTGCACCTCTTTCATGTATCGCTTTCTCTTTATCCCTTCCTTTCTTTTTTCCTCTCTTTGCATCTTTCTCATTTTTTCTTTCTTTCTCTTTGTCTTTTTATCTCCTCTGTCTCTCTTTTTCACATCTCTTCTTCGTGTCTGTTTTTTTTCTATATCCTTCTCTTTCTATCTATTTTTTGTTTCTGGTTCTTTTTATCTTTTTTTTACTTGTCGTTTTCTTTATTTATCTTTTTCATTTTTATGTCTTGCTCACTGTTTTTTGTTTGTCTGTTTTTCTCTTCTCTTTTACTGTGTATATCTATCTATCTTTTTATGTATTTCTTCTGTGTATTTCTCCCCATTCCTGCCACCCGCTTCCTATCTCGCTCTGTGTTCTCTCTCTCTCTTCTTATCTCTTTCTTTTCCTCTCGCTTTTTCACCGGTTCGTTTTCGTTCTATACACGCACCTGCTGTACACGATAGTGGGGATTCCTGATATTGCATTCCAAATCTAAAGACGCATACCAACTTCAGTTTTAGGGTGACAACGCACAAAATACGATGAGCTACAACAGTTTCCATGTTGAAAAAGCGCAGCTGCGATATGTGTTGCGACAAAATTTACGCGTGAACAGAGTTTCTGTGTTTTCGCTTTTATTTGGCACTTATGTGCACTTTTTGTTTTCCAGTTTTCTTGGGTATTGAAGGTGCCAACGTCTACGAAGCGAAGAATTCAATGGGCCAGCTCATATACAACATTCGGGAAAGTGAGTTTTTCTTATATATTTTGTGGACAGGGCAATTTTCCGAAAGGTGAGGTCAGCTTACGGGAAAGTCTGATACCTAAAGTTGAGTATAGAATGCACGCTGCTGTAGACAGCTTACACACTAAAAACTGAGTGTGGGGTGAGCTGGGGAGACGGGGACAAGCGTCAGAACATCCAAGTCCCCACCTCCGGACCTACTTTTGATTGTGAACTCTTCCACGTTACACACAATTCCACTCTCTTACTCCCCTCCTCCCTCAGCTTCAATGAGGTAAACGCGTGGTTAAATTCGCCTCAATGAAACAGTTGCTATGGTCCCTGGCAATTACCCGAAGGTTGCGGGTTCGATCCCAGCTGCAGGGTCGCATTTTGATGGAGGCGAAATGGTAGAGGAGCGTGTACTCTGTGATGTCGGAGCAGAATACCATCTGCGTCTCTCATAATCATAGCATGGTTTTAGAATCTAAAACCCCGGATATTATTGGCGTGCCCTAAACAAAAGGTATTGCTACACTTCGTTCGAGAAATTATAATATGAGCAGTTGCCCCTTTTTTTGGTACTCGCAGTTATTATAACGACGTTTCTGAGCAAAACAAACAAAAAAAATGATAATAAGCTACGTCTCTGAAGTTCTGGCTATGTTATCAGCGGTGTTAGTTTCTTGCAACGTCAGGAAAATAGGGGTTCCAGTTGTTGTCTTTACGTAGTGCCCACAGTCCCAGAATGTATATCATTTGCGGTCGGCATGTCATCTCCTTCCATCATGTTGCATCAAAAATAAATATTTCATTGTTCGTAAATACAAATACAGGTTCGTATGTATACTTATGAAAGTGGTCACGTGGCAGAAAGTCGCTAAGGCACGTACTCTGTCTATGCGATGACGTCGCAGCTATTTGGAAGCTGTTTACTGTTTTTTTTTTGATGCCTGTGTACCTGAATATAGGTGCAAGTTAAATTACCCCACGTGCTCGAAATTTTAGGAGCTCTCCACCATGACGTTTTTCATTGTCATATCGTGGTTTTGGGACGTTCAGCCTTATCAGTAATAATAAAATTAGAGCTTTTTCACGGAAAACACTGACGTACAGTATCAGCTTTCTAATCTTAATATTATATAACTTCCTTGTCACTACGCAATTCTTGCGTGGTGCCAGTCATTCGCTAACCAATGTGTCACTACGCGTAATTGCTGAGAATTTCCAATGGTGGCACTACCACCCACAGGAGTCGTGGCTTCGTCGTGGTCGTCGTCGTCGTCGTCGTCGTCGTCGTCGTCGTCGTCGTCGTCGTCGTCGTCGTCGTTGTGTTGTTGTTGTTGTTGTTGTTGTTGTTGTTGTTGTTGTTGTTGTTGTTGTTGTTGTTGTTGTTGTTGTTGTTGTTGTTTTTGTTGTCTGCTGACAAAAGAGTAAGCCAGTTTCTCACAAGTATGCATTATGGAGCTTCGCTCATCTTTATCAGCTCAAGTTTCTAATTTTCATATCAAAGAAAAAAAAACAAAAGAAAGCGCCCTTTCCTTTCCTTAATTTTTACGCAGTTCCGGATTCACCTGTTTTCGCGCAGATTCCGGCTTATGCGCCAGGTGCTGCTGCGGTCCAAGGCGGTGCCTCGAAATCGACGTGTTTGACAGCACGAACACCGTTGTTATCCACATTGTGCGACCCCTTCGATGCTCAAACTTCTGCTGCTTTTGCTGCCTGCAGGTAAGGAATGCTATGGCGGCTCTGCCTAAATGACAGATGCGTTCAGTTTTTTTTTTTTATTGGAAGTCATTCGTGACGTCATGTGGGCTTAGAAAGTGACCACGTGCCTTTGAAGGATGGAAAGAATGGCAACTCTAAGTGCTCGTTTTCTTTTCTTGGCAAGACACAGCAAAAAAACGAGTCCTTCATATTTATTTCCTTTATTTTAAAGAGAGGTTCTCATTGTGGCAGGCCGAATTCTTCCAGGAAGTGTGCAAAAGATTAGTCAGCTCGTAAAAAAATCACGTGCCTCGAGACGCAAGCAGGCAGAAAACGTGTGTTCCACACTCGTCGTCATGGCTACTAGTGGCAATGACTAACACTCCCAATTATGTAATATAAAGTGGAAGGGAAGATGACCACTGCTGTGCCTCGGTTGGTAGAGCATCGGAGGTGCCTTTTGATTGCCACAGAATCGGTCCCTCGCAGCCGCAAGTTATCTTTTTGTCCACTTCTTCACGTTTGCATCACGAATGCTATACACAACATTCCCTTCACCTTCCCTGGCTTTCTTGTCTGTTCATCATCATCATCAGCAGCAGCAGCAGCAGCCTGACTACGCCCACTGCAGGACAAAGGCCCCTTCATGTTCCAGTCAACTCGGTCCTGCGCTTGCTGCTGCCACTTTATATCCGCAAACTTCCTAATCTCATCTGCCCACCTGACTTTCTTTCTCCCCCTCGTCCGCTTGCCCTCTCTAGAGATCCAGTATGTGATCCTTAATGACCAGTCGTTGTCTTGTCTTCACACTACGTGCCCTGCCCATGACCATTTCTTTTTGATTTCAACTACGATTTCCTTAACACCCGCTTGTTCCCTGATGCACTCTGCTTTCTTCTTGTCTCTTATAGTTACACCCATCATTTCCCTTTCCATTACTCGCTGCGTCATCCTCAACTTGAGTTGAATGAACCTCTTTGTATTCCTCAAGGTTTCTGTTCCGTACGTTAGTACCGGCAAGATGCAGCTGTTGTATACCTTCCCCTTGAAGGATAGTGAGAATCTACCATTCATGATTTGAGAATGCTTGCCGAATGTGCTCCCCCCTACTCTTATTCTTCTGGTTACTTCAGTCTCGTGGTTCGGCTCCGCGGTTACTACCTGTCATAAGTAGACGTATCCCTTTATCACTTCAAATGCACAGCTACGTATCTTGCCTGTTAGCTTCAATTCAATGACAGAAAGCCATAACTGCATTACTACAATTGCTGAAGTTGGTGTAATTCACGTACAGACTACTTGACACGCCCATCTAAGTGGAATGGCAGCCTCCGTGCCTTTCTTTTTTTCCCTATTCTTTCTTTCTTTTTCCGCCCGCGCAGAAACACTAACAAACGCTTTTTCACTGACCTAGCACCCCGACTGCCTTGTCTTTACTGCTCCTTGTCTATTTCTAGGAAATGGAAGTTCAAGCTCCTCCAGGAACTCCCATCGCTCAAATACGTCAACGGTGGTCCATTTGCCACCCGTACTTTACTATATACAGCCCGGAAAACGAGCCGGCCTTACATGTGGTGGGACCAATATGCACCGAGAGTTTGCCGTGTAAATGCGACGTCAAGTTCGAAGTACGTATGCGTCCACGATATGGTGTGGTGGCGCTTGTGCTGGCATGTAAGGGACACCGAATAATTCTCATAATGCAGGGACGCCTAAGAATGCAAAGACGCCGAATAATTCACTACGAATTATTCGGCATCCCTGCGTGGCGCCTAATAACTTGTCAGCATTGTACGTGAACATATCCAAAGGATTCTAAAATAGTGTATGTAGCATCCTGATAACACAATATGCACTCTCCGTATAAATAAAAAATGGCAGATACCACGTACACTGGAAGTCGATGATATGCGAACCAAGAACTAGGAAGGTTATGTCACTTCGAAATCAGCACAACGTTATGAGGCGGAGGGAAATTGTGCCGTACATGACTTCCATGTCATGATTATCATGTTTGGACGTGTCACTTACCTTCGTCGTCTATTCACGTCACGTAATACCCAATTTGGTATATGTCGAGCTAGTATAACGGCAGCGAGCGCGCTATGAGCGTAACACGAAGTCATGCCTTACATGACGCGCATATCATGATTATCATGTTTGGATGTGTCATTTACAATTGTCGTCCATACACGTGACCTAATACCGAATCTGGTATATGTGGAACTAGTGAAACGGCGGCGAGCACGCATTGAGCGTAGAATGTAATCATGTTTTACATGACACGCATACCAAGATTACCATGTTTGGACGTATCATTTACCTTCGTCGTCTATTGACGTCCCGTAGCGCAAAATTTGGTATATGCGAAGCTAGTGAAACTGCGGCGAGCGCCTTGTGAAGGGACCAGTGCATTCCGTCGTGACGTTGACGGGCGCACACGCTGGGCGCAGCGACACTGTATACGCAAGCGAAACGTGAGCACTTAGTCTGGCGCCAGGTGCGACCGGCGTGACCAGCGTCCATCAGCGCGGCCCGGTAGCAACCGGCGCGAAATGTGAAATGCTGCATTTCACACCAACGACGTTACGCAGACAGAACCGCATCTACCTTTTTTTTTATGACGGAGGGACGTCGGGCTTGCTCAAACACGCATGCGTCAAAGCAACGCAGCGTGGTGCATGCCTCAGGTTTGCTCCTGGCGTGTCATCGCCGGCGCGACGCGACGAAACGAAAGCCAGCGCGCAAGTGCACCGGGTCACGTCAAAGTGTATTGCCGCATTGACTGTCGTATGTAGTCATGTTCTCACATGACACGCATCTCATGATTATCATGGCTGTACCAGTCACATACCTTCGTTATCCATTGACGTGACGTAATACCAAATTGGCTAATGTGAACATACCGAAACGGCCGCGAGCGCATCATGAGTGTGGCATGCAGACAAATTGTTACATGACGCACATGTCATGATTTTCATGTTAGGGTCTGTCGCTTGTGTTCGCCATGTAGTCATGTCATACCATACCAGTTTTGGAACATTGTCCATGTGAACGGAACCACCAGAAGAGCAGCAAGACAATGAAACGTAAATCATGACATTCATGACATATATGTCATGATTTTCGTGTTATCACAAGTTACTTATGCTCGTCATACAGACACGTTATGCCATACCAAGTTTCGTATTGATACCATTATTGAAGTGGCCAGGAGAGCTGAAAGTCGTAAACGGATAGATAGATAGATAGATAGATAGATAGATAGATAGATAGATAGATAGATAGATAGATAGATAGATAGATAGATAGATAGATAGATAGATAGATAGATAGATAGATAGATAGATAGATAGATAGATAGATAGATAGATAGATAGATAGATAGATAGATAGATAGATAGATAGATAGATAGATAGATAGACTAGATAGATAGATAGATAGATAGATAGATAGATAGATAGATAGTAGATAGATAGATAGATAGATAGATAGATAGATAGATAGATAGATAGATAGATAGATAGATAGATAGATAGATAGATAGATAGATAGATAGATAGATAGATAGATAGATAGATAGATAGATAGATAGATAGATAGATAGATAGATAGATAGATAGATAGATAGATAGATAGATAGATAGATAGATAGATAGATAGATAGATAGATAGATAGATAGATAGATAGATAGATAGATAGATAGATAGATAGATAGATAGATAGATAGATAGATACGCTCAAAGTCACCGAAGTTCGCTAAGGAATGCTTCGCATTTCAAAAATGTTAAAGCCATGAGCGTACGCGTTTCCTTTTCTCCCATTCAGGTTCGCTCGATGAATGGCGTTGTCATAGGCGCCGTCACCAAGGAATGGGGCGGACTCGTGAAGGAGTACTTCACAGACTGCGACAGTTTCGTTGTGAGCTTCCCCCTCGACCTAGATGTAAATATGAAAGCTGCGCTTCTCGCCCTATCTCTGCTCATAGTAAGATATGCTTTTCTTTTCTCTGATTTAATAATTGCTTGAATTACCGTATACCTTCCGAGTAAAGGGCCCCTAAACCACTTTCGATGTTTTTGTTAATGTTTCAAGTATCGCGCACATCGAGTTTAGAGTGCACCGTCACGATCAAGTGTCAAACGCAGCAGCGCTACGCACCACAGGCTCGCCACATAAGCCCCGAGAGACTCTTCATCACAAATACCACGCGAAAGGCTCCGCTCAGCCCCGCTACGCCACAAAGTCCCCTTTGTCCCCGCTACGCCCCAAAGTCCCCTTTGTAGGCGCGCCACAAATGCCTCGAGAGACGCTATGCGCGGGTGCGCCTTCGTCTCTCGGGAACCCTCGGTATCCCCAGCTTTGGTCATGAAGTCCCCAGAAGACTATGATCTTGTCGTCAGCAGAAATAACCTGTTGGTCTGCCGGCAGGTAGCTGCACAGGCGTCACTCTCTGCTCGACCTCCTCGCATGGTGAGAAGCAACACCTGACCGCTAGAGGCGTGACCACAAGTACCCATTGCAGCGCGTGAGCGCGTGGCTTTTTGAGGCGGCGCAACGAGGTTCTATGGTATATAATCGCCTTGATGCGAGGTTGCCCCCTTTCCCCATAGGGAGATGGCTCGCGGCTTTGCCTAGTAGCGTGCCCTCACTCTCAGAGAGAGGGTGTGACGCCACGTCAAAAAGCCAAGCGCTGTCATGCCTGCTACGGCTACGTTTGGGGACGCTTGAAAGAGAGACGACCCAACAACAAGGAGCATAGCGAAGGAAAGAGCGAAATGAGTGAAGGCTGAATTTCGATCATCGAATGAGTGTATCTCCGCTATTACGGCACCGTTTAAAAAAAATTCGTGCCGTCACATGTTCGCTGTAGACTCGGGCACAACTGCAACTACCTCTGGGTGGTTTACGGGATCTTTAAATTATAAAACGTTGACTTTTCATTCGGCTCAGTCTTTTTTTCTCACCCAGAAATACGTGGATGCGCTGTAGGAACCACGTCAAGGGTTAATAGGAATGTCACAAATGCAACAGTGCTAATTAAGCTAGTTAATGGTGACTTTTCTGCTCATTGTTGATGCTCAAACATTAGCATAAAACAGTTCCTTCTGTAAAAGCCTTAATTGCGCACGCAGAATTCTTTAAATAAATAACTTCAATATTCGTATATCTTGTTGTATATGTCGTTTTATTTTAAATTTATAGCTTTAAGGAAGTTCCTAAATCAGCCTGTTGAAAACAGCATTGCATTCTTTTGTGTGCGTTGCATTTGTTGTGCGCCTCAGAAAACTGTTTTTGAAAAAAATGTGCAGTGATGTTTGTTCTTAAAACGCTCCTCAGCCACAGTGAATAATGCTAAACTCAGAGGGAACTATTGAAATATATTTTATTTCGGTCTTCATCCCTTCTAATTTTGTACGAAAATTTCTTCTTTTGTGTGAAACGATTTTGTTACGTTATAATATATTGTATATAATTGAAGGTGTTCTTGACGTCGTCTCTTTTTTGTGTTACTACAGGACTACATGTTTTTCGAAGACTCATGGAGCAAAAAAGACAAGCGAGCAAAACGTGCTAGGCGTTAGTATTTAAGATCGCAATAAAAATACTCGAGATTCTTTCCTTCTGTTTACACCAATTACTGTGGCTTGAGCGCGTGTCGCACGAATGCTTTATGTGTTCTTGTGTACGTGTATCTCGTTTACTTGTACTTACGTACATCTGTACGTGTGCTTATTTACGTATATCTCGCAGACTCCATTTCTCTGCTCGCATTTCTTTGCATCTATCTAGCCGCTTACGTCTGGGTGCTCTCTTGTTCCCCCCTTAACTTGGGGTGAACCAAAATTAGTACGGCAAGATAATGATGACGCGCTAATGAAGACATGATTAATGTGACAATCCCGTCACGTATGCCGTCACACATCCCGCCAGACAGTGGCGCATACCCGCGAGCAGGTATGTGCCACAGGTGATAGACGCTTACTATCTATCCAAGAAGAATGAGAACCCGCATGGGTAATTTCAATTCGTGAGCATTGATAAAAACTGGACATCGGCTGCGCTAACACGACCACATACAAAGAAAAGGCACAGCTTTACCGCAAAGACGAAGCAATGAATGCGATAGCAACAAGGGGTCATTCCACGCGAAGAATGGCAGGCAGATGAAAACGTGCCCCACGTTGCCCACGCACAAATGACGCACGAAATGTACTCACAGGTACAGATGAACGCAAATAAGTGTCTCAGTTGTTACTTCACTGTGTCTGCAAAACGCACTCTTTTCGCAAACGGAGACTGTGCAGCGAGTGCAGTGACCTTTGTGCGTTCGGTAACTACAACAGAATCATTCCGGTGAATGCCCTAAGCGTACAATTCTTCTCACTCTGAGATAACCACGCGCAAGCGAGAGCGTCTACCCCCTCCCCCTCCATGAGGCAAAGTACGCGTGGGCAAAGAACGTATCAGTGCGCGTCGCCACGTCGTGACGATCTGGTGACGCGCGCTCATTGCACCATCTCGCTGTTATTGCTGAAAACACAATAGTTTACCCGAGATCGCCAACGGCAGCGGTATGTGGCAGATATAAACATCTTGCCGTTTCAACGTTGAAGGACGTGCTCCTTCGTGGCTCAGTGGCTAACATCACGCACTCACAAGCAAGAGGTCGGACGATCAACTCTGCGCGTCAGAATCTTTTTCTAAAATATTTTTTCTTGCGTTTTCACATATGTAGATACCTATACATATACGGTGACTGACGGCGGTCGCCGATGACAGTGGCAAAATCCAGCCGAGTGTGTCCATATGATTGCTATCGCAATAATACATGTCGGGGACCCAAAAATTTTGCGTGGCAATCAAGCATTCTACCACTGAGCCACGCCAGATCTAGGAAACACTAGCTTGGATACACTGAACTCACGTGCATAACAAAGATCAAGTACACTTAAAATCATTAAATTAGCATTATTAGTTTATAATACTTTTGGCAGCCGCGCAATATATGTCTATTTATTTATTTATTCATTTCTCAGCCAATTCACAAAACTGCATGCAAGTCAATGTTGTAGGTCATTATCATCATCATCATCATCATCTGAAGCAAAAAAAATTGGTAGGGGAGACTTGCCAGTACGTACACAAAGTCTGCAATCCTATAAACATTTTCAATGATAAAATTTTCGTATTGCTGTTAGCTGGAACTTTAAAGCCCGCACTTCTGCCCTACGTCGTACATTCAGTCCAAACTGGACTGAGTATACAAGGGGAGGGCGGGTCAGAAGTTCCCAGGCCACTATCCTAGGTATTCCTATGGGAGCGTGGCCTGGGCACTTCTGACCCCCTCCCCTTTGTGCGTGGCACATTCAGTCCAAATTACATTCAGCCCAAACTGGCACTAGTAATATTCCATATGCTGGGCCCCGCAATAAATAAGTAAAACGTAATATCAGCTATGTAAAGCTGAAATAAAACGTCTTTTTTTAAATATGAAACAAGTGTCAAAATGCACCGGGTTGCTCTTCACAGGAGGTAGTCATAACTTGCGTTTGAAATTCTCATGCTCGCACACCGCCATGCAGTGCAAAAAACGTTTAAGTTGTCGGACTGCTATGCAAACAAAGTATTACATGTGGGGAAACAAAGTTTTTTAAAAGATAAATTATTGATGTCTTAAAAGCTTGTTCGATTCTCTCGGTCTTGGTCACAAGCCGATAAAATGACGTGCTGCGTCGAGAAGGCGGCGTCCGACTCGGAAAACGATTGCGCCATCTCCGAGTCTCTCGTTTCGTCCGTTAACATGTCGTCTCGAAGAACATGAAGTCCTGAAAAATACCATATGCACAACTTTTAGTATCCATATTTCACGTTAGAACAATTTTAGAACCAACCCAAATTGTGCAATGGGTAATATAATAATGGTTAAGCTTTTACGACCCAGAACCACGATTACTCCTTTGAACGACTTTATAATTGGCAGGAAAGCGTGTTATGGGTAATTTATTAATCTTTGGGGTCTTAAAATAAAAAAAGCAAGATATGGTTATAAGAGATGCCGTGTGGGGGGCTTCGTAAATGTAGATCACCTGTAGTTACTTAACGCGCACCTAAAGTAAAGTTCACGGGTCTCTAGCACATTGCCACCACCAAAGTGCTACCGCTGCGGCTGGTACTTGATCCCGCAACCATACGCCAACGCAGCGGGTGCATGTGACGAATATAGCAAGAAAACTTCGCTGAAATTGTAAAAACCATTCAATGTAAATGAACGATATACAAAGTCTGAAACGGGACTTCCTTTTCTCAACTCGCATCCGTGCTAAACAAGCTAATACGGGAAGGCTGCAAGAACGAAGGTGCAAATAATTGTTTTAAAATCTACTCATTCAACTTCTCTTTTTGTATACCAATGACGATATACAATGTCTAAAACGGAACTTTCTTTTTTCAACTCGCATCCATTCTAAACAAGCTAAGAAGAGAAGGCTACAAGACCGAAGTCACAAATTATTGTTTTAAAATCTACTCATTCAACTTTTTTTCTGCATACCACCCATCCAACCCGCATTTCTTATCCCTATTCTATTCATAAATACTCTGAGAAGCCGCCACAGTGGCACAGTGGCTACGGGCTTGGGTGCTAACCCGAAAGACAGTGGTTCTATTTCTGTCGCAGTGGCCGCAGTTTGATGGAAGGGAAATGCAAGAGGCTCGTGAACACTTTTTCTAGTAAGCATGTAATGGGATCACTAGAGGAACTTATTGCCTTAGGAATTCATTACCGCAATTTTTTTCGGAATTCGTTTTGTACGAAGGAAAATACAAAATTGTCGCACGCTACACTGAGGAGCTTATTGCCTCAGGAATTCATCACCGCAAAAGTTTTTAGAATCTGTTTAGTGCAAAGGGATTTACAAAGAATTGTCGCACGCTACAATCGCACTTTCTCGTCTCTAGTCCTGTTGAAAGCACTGGAAGCTAAGCAGAGAAGAAAGTAAACGGAGAAGAAAGCGTGTCGCATTCGCCTCGTGACCTTGAGCACTTTTATTTCTTTTCCTTTTTTTTTTTTTTTTGAATGCGTGCTTTGACAAGTGACGGCCTCCCGCAGCAGCCCTGCATGGACCGAGCATGTAATGTTCAAATCAGCCTATGGCTGAGTCTAGGCCTGCAATGCAGTGATTATTGAGCTTTGAAGCGTCATTTCACGAAAGAAAAGGAGGTCTTTTTTTTAAGCGGGCTATGAGAAGTTATTGTAAATTTCAGGCCACGTGATGTCCTATTATGAACACATTTTAGCATGGTTAGTGGGATAGCGGGCTTAGCGTAATATTGGGAATGAAGTGTGCATGCGCAGTACCGTATGTGACCCGTACCACTCTATATGCACACGCTATTTTTCATATTCAACGTTAACGTGTTTGCCTGGTTTACATAAGGTACGCAAAACATGGCGGTGGTCTTGGACGCCCACTTCGAAGTGATCTTGGCGTAGTTGTTCAAGGATTCACTTTGTTCGCAGCAAACGACTATGTAAAGTGGCTTTGCTTGCCTTCAGTTAGCTTTGACGACCGCGTATTACGGAGTAGTTAGCGTAGCTTTTTGACATAGCTTCCTATTTCGAACGTCTTCAGGCTTAACTAGAAGATTGATGTAAACTATATAAAGAAATCAGCAACAAAAATATTTTTTGCGTTTTGTGCATGGGTCACATTTGTTTACTTTTGTTATTACTAAAGAAACTAGTAACATTGCTTCGCACGGTTATACAGGCAAACATTTTCTTTTCTTTTCACAGTTTTTTTAACTTGTTCACCCTCTACTAGGTGGCGCCACCATCCCAGCTGGAGACGTAAACCACGTAAACGCTATCCCGCTAAACCGAAATGCACTGTCAGCAACTAACGGCAATTCTTTAACACGATCACTCTAGCGCTAACTGTAACTGCCTAATGTTGGACTCACGTGTTCCCGTGATCCTCAACTAACAA